TTGGGCACTTTCTGGAGTTCTGCCCTGCTTGGGAAGGGTATTGTTTTACCTTTCACCAGGGTCCTCTCTCAACAAACAGGCTTAATGAAAATCACGGACGAAGAGACCTAACGATAAGCAAGTAAGAATAACCCCATTTGTACCAAATTGATTTTATTAAATAGTCATTTCAAGATATTAGGCTCAGCAAAGCATTACATAATTGAATCTGCATCTCCCCACTCCCCCCTTACAAATGCCAGAGTTGTCTTTTAGACTAACTAGAAACAAAGTTAGATCCAGGATGTTTTCACAGCTCCCTCCAGGAAAGGCATAAGGCCAGCAGTCATCAGGAATCTAGGACTGGGGCCACAGCACAGGACCACCAAGAGCCCAGATCTCCTCACCGTAAAGAGGAGGAGACTATGGGTGCCTTTCCAGCGAGGATTCAGTGAGAGCGTTTGTAAATCATACAGCACAACACAGATGGGCATCCCCCTCCTATTTCTTTATGAAATGCCTACCAGCTTCAGAGGCAATGCAACCCAACAGGACAACCGAAACCTGGCAAATCTCGGGAATAAACTTGACTTACTTTTTATACCCATGATAGCTAGGGTTTCAAAGTTATATTATCTCCTTAGACTATGGTGAGGGTTAATCAATTTCACTTAAAAAAAAAATCCAGAAACCCCAGATTTTTTTCCATTGCTCTTTTGCAATTTGTTCATCTGTTCATGCGTACGCTCATGTCTATACAGACATCTTATCTCTGGTCGTGGCATTTCAACAATTTACAGAAAAAAAACATGTTCTATCATGTCACTTGCAAGCCTGATGGATCCAGAAAAGCTCTGTTCTTTTAGCTCACCAGCCAGAAGTCTGCACTGGAAGGAAGGTAAGGCAATGAGATGTGGGGCAGGGGTGGCAAAGGGGGGTAGGAACTTATAAATTCTTTCATAGAAGGTCCAGCAGGGCCTTGGGTGGGGGAGAACATCCAGCATCAATTTACAACTGATTATCCCTGGTGGCTCCACACACACACACACACACACACACACACACACACACACACACACCAAGTACAGCTTCTGATTCGGAGTATCTAACTGTGTTTCTAAATGACCACATATTAAATACATGGATTAAGGGAGCCTTGACTTTTTATGAATAAACACTGTGAATATTTTAAAAGGCACCCAGAAAGCATTTCTATGGCAAAGCATGCCGAGATTTGTTTCAATCTTTTTTTACCTAACTTAAGAGGATTTTAAGAAAACTCAACTCTTGATCTGCCTGTGTTCTTCTCACTTCTCCCTCCACCCACCTACTTTCTGCCCAGTACATGGTCATTTATAAAGACTATTTTCCCAGGCAGCCCAGACAAACGATGAACTGGGTGCGATTGCAGGTGATTTGCAATTCCCTTCTGGCTCATTTTGGGTATTTTCTTAAATTGTGATTTGCTTGCCTGGGAAGGAAAGACGGGAAAAAAAAAAACAAAGCAAGTCTGGTGAGAACTACAAATACATTTACAAGTCCATCTTCCCGGCATTGCGACAAGCATTTCACGCACATACTGTATAAAAAGGAACCTTTCTGCTTGGAAATAATTTTCTTCGGGGGACAGGATTAATGAAATCACGTGGTCCTCATTTCAAATCAAGGGCTAAGGGGTGTTTTCTTGGACATTAAGCTGCCTTGAACTTGAAGCAACGGCCCACAGAGAGGACGCTTGAAAAAGTCCTCTCGGCTTCGTGGATGGCCCAGCTCTCCCACCTGCCCTTGGTGGAGGGGCCGGCCCCTTTCTGCCACCGAGCATTCTGTTCAGCAAGGGGGTGGCCCTTTGGCTTTTCTCAACATCCAGCCTTGACCCTCTGCCAACCCTACCCATCACAAATATGGGGAAGAAAACCCAGGAAGGGATAATACGGATAATACAGAAACAACACTGCAAATTTTACTTGATTTAGAAAAAAAAAAAAAGAAAAAAGCCCCATTCTCTCACCTATAGGAAATCCTATTTACTGGGGCTGAAAGTACTGCTGGATGCCCTGTATCGGTCCCAGCATTAGCAGGAGGAAGCCATCCATGAGGACACAGGTGTTCCCTGCAAAGCCCACTTTTTGTCCCTCACAGCTCCACAGCCGAGGACACAGCCGGGCACTTACACGAAGCCCAGGGGTGTTGAGTCCACCGAAACTGACCTTGCGCTTGCATTTCCTTCCGGCATTTGCTACTGTCTGCCATCTGCCCAATGCCCTTTTCTGTTCGTGCCTTAAGAACGTCCATGTTACTGTCACTACCTGCCTCCCTCTGCCAAGAACCCAGCACAACTGGTACCGGAATTCTGTTGTTCAACACAACTAAAACTAAATGATGAGACCAGAGTTGCTGAAATGAAAATTTATGGCTTCTAAGCAGGAAACCACTTTCAGCCTAAACTTACTTGACAACTAACGCAGGGGAAGGGTTTTCTCTTCGCTAAGTTCAAAAGGCCTGATTTACTGATTGACAAAACACGAGTCAATCTGCTTCTCTTTCATGGTGGTTTGTTCTCTCCTCCCCTGTCCACAGGCATCTGGGTCCCCAAAAAGCTGCACTGTAAAGATGGTTTCAGTTTTGCATGAAAAAAAAATCTAATTAGACAAACTCTTACACATGGAACCAATTTAGCTATTATAACTGAGAGGCAACCGGGAAGTATTTAATACGATGCAGAGCCAACTTTTTCCCCTTCAATCTGATATGGAAACATTTTACAGCATTCCTTATTTTCCCACAAACTATTTTTCTTCAGCTTGAATTTGCACCAGGGCAAGATAATCGCATTAAAGCACAGGATGTTATGATGCTGGGAATGAAATATACTAATTGTTCAGATGTCTCCTCTCTCTCAGGCGAGTGAGCTGACAGAGAAATGGCTGTGCCAGGACATGCGAGCTACTTTTCCTGAAGCACAACCGTGTTATGACTCTATTACACTGGCAGCCAGAGGTCACCCCAAGACACATGTGCGGACTACAGCTCTGGGGGGGGCGACTGTGTGAGCTTCTGGGGGGGGTTATTAGCAGGAGACACAGTGAATACTAGAACTTGACTTTGTACTGAAACTACAAAAGCAAAACCTTGTGTATCAGTGCACATCAAAAAGAAATTCAAATACGAAAACATGCTTTCCTTACGATTTGACGGTTACTGTTCATTAGGGAAAAAGCATTTTAAGATGTCTCAGCCTCTTATCTCTTTCCCCAATCAACACAAATTACATTAAATGGATAAGGGCTGACTCTGACACCTCCCACATAACACAGTCTATTTTATAATTTAGTGGGGCGGGGGGAATGAAAGGCAACATCTTAGCTGCAAAGGAGTCGTTTAGCAATGAACAGGATTTATGAAAAGCAGAAATAACATAAGTTGTTTTTTTTTTAAGAGAAGAGTAAAATCACTTTAAGCGGAAAGAAACCCTAAAAACTGTTTTTCTTTGCCAGTGATTTTTAAGTGCATGGATCCTACGGCAAGGCTTCCTGTCCAAGATATTGCATGTTCTAAAAATTATTAAATCCCATTTCCTGCAAGCCGCGGGGCCAAAGACAGAATACTGGCGGGGGGCACATCACGTAGCACCATTTCACCTGCGAGCCGCGACCAGCGCGTTCCGGCCTGTTAATAATTAACGCTGCAGATGCCACCCAATCTCCAGCAAAGAAAGGCAAAGCTGGGTGATCCGAAAGCCAACCCATCGCAGACACTGAACCGCAGTCCTCCATCCGTCACTGCAACAAAACCCCAGCCTAGAAGAAGGGGGACGGGGCGCTAGGCACGCGCCCGGGTGGGTCGGACCCGCAGAGCCGCTACACTCTGCGCCTTCAGGAAGCCGTGCCCGCCGGTAACAGATGGGTTTCTAAATCCCCGAGCCGGGCGACCGGGCCTGCGAAGCCGCCGGGGCAGATGATCCGCCGCAAGGACGCGCCAGGCGCGCCCGCCGAGGGCTGCGGGTTGAGTTTACCCGGGGCGGTTTGCAACAGTCCTGCGAGCGCGCCTCGGTGTCCCTGGGCAGCACAGGCGACTTCCTGCGCCACCTCCAAACTTCGCCTTTCCCACCCGCAACTTCCCAGGTCTTTGGCCACGGTCTCCCGGGCTACCCCTCCCTCCAGCCGGGCTCGAGTCCCGACCAGGGAGACAGAGTCTTGGCTGCCACCAGCCCAGCGCGCGCCGGCCGGCCCTGCCACGGGCGAACCTCCGCCTCTGCCCACCACTCTGAGCGAGGGGAGAGGAGGTGAGGAGGGAGAAAAGGGACCATGAGTTCTCTTCCCACCACCGACACAAGCCACAACAGCAAGCTGGGCGGCCGTAGAGGGCTCTCTGGCACGCTCCCGCAGCCCGTTTCTTCCCGGCCCGCGCGCTTTCGGAAGTGGCCACGGCGGGACCAGAGCCGACGGTCGCACTTCTGCAGATAGCCGCTCGGGACCCGCCTGGCCAGCGGGAGGAGAGGGAGCCAGACCTGCGTCGCTAACCAGACCCCGGGGATGACACCGAACCCGTGCGCACTCACGGCCCGGCCCGGTGGCGGTGCCCCCCTCCCCCCTACAACTAGGCCGGAGCTGTCCTGGGTGCGGGCCCTGGAGCCCGACGGCCGGCGCCCCCGACTTCCTCCACGTTCCCGTCCTTGTTTTCCCCCCTTCCCAGAGCGCGACTCCTCCCAGCAAACTTTCTTTGGGGAGCCCTGCCAGGTACCAGACGGACCCAAGCGACTGACAGCAGCCAAATGCGGGGGTTGGGGGTGGGGAGGGGGTTCAGCCCGTGCGCCTCTGCCCCTAGCAGGAGACCGTGCAATCCCGCGGCTCCACTCCGGTGGCACGCTGCAGTGGCCCCCGCAGGCCCCGGCGGGGCTCCAGCGCTCAGCCCGGGGCAGTACGTGCGCTCCGGCAGGCGCGCCCACCCCTCCCCCTGCGCACCCTCCTCCCCGCCCCCCAGAGCTGCCAGCCCACCCGGCCCCGGCGGGGCGCCCGGCTCACCTTTCATCGCTGCGATCACAAAATACATCATTTAAACCGCGGTGCGGAGAGCGCAGGGAGAGCGGATGGTCCGACCCCGGAGCCCCCTCTGCCGCCGCCGCGCCGCCGCCGCCTGAGCCACAGCAGCAGCTGCCGCAGCTGCCCGCCCGCCGAGAGCCATCCCGAGCCATAAGAGGCTCCATGTGACCGGCTGACATCACGGCCGCCGCTCTGTTTACACCGCGCCCCTCCGCTTCCTCCCAGGGCGGGAGGCGGGGAGGCGGGGAGGCGAGAGGCGGCGGGAGGCAGGCGCGTCCCGGCGCCGCGCCCCGCCTCCGCGGGCAGGTGAGCAGCGGCCACGGGCAGACCCACCCCGGCCTGCGTTGCCCTCTCGTGCCCCCCGGCCCGTGCAGGGACATTCTCCCCTCCTCCCAGCCTTCTAGTTTCCCAAATCACCTGTGGCTGCCCAGACGCTTCCACCACGCAGCGCCCGGTGGAACGTGCACCTGACCACTTTGTGCCCAACCTGGCTTAAGCCACAGACGTGCAGCCGCACGCCACCCCCGCGCCTTTCCCGGACCCCTGGGCTCTGGGATGGGGGACCCTATTAAATATTAAGGTGATTGAGGAGGTTTGAGCTGGGGAGCTGCAGCCCCTACCTCCAGGTGAAACTGACCCTGGAAGTGGCCCGGTCAGGCGAGGGGCACATCACGCCCTCAACCTTCAGCAAAAGCCCCCAAACACCATCTGGGGTCCTCTTATCACCCTTCCCTCACACTCTGTGTCCGGGACCACTGACATCCGCCAGGAGGGCGGGAAGCTCCGAATGGCCTAAACGAACTCTACTAGGCAGCCAGTTTGAGCCTCTGCCGTCCACAATCCAATGTTTTCTCCAGAAAACCCACCTGCGAGTGGGAAAAGCTATAGTGGACATACGCAAAAAGGAGACATTGTGACATTTTAGATTGGAAAGAAAAATAATAAATCAAAGTGCTCTATATGTGATTTTTAATTTGCAAGAAGAACTTCACCCCCACAATGAAGTTTAATCTTTTGCTCGGCTCATGGAAAGGTAAACCATTCTGATGCTAGTTTGGCGATGAAGCCACTTTTCTACGAATTTCAGGTGATACTCATTAAGCAACTGCATTAAAAACTGACACCCGTGTCTTATAGTATTGCACATTAACAAAAAAAAATCCTCAATTTGCTTATCTTTCCCCTGTTCCTTAAACAACCTTCAATTCTCTCTTTTCTTTTGGCCTGTGTTTCCACTGACAATATAAAAGTACTAGATATTAGTTTGCTACAAACACCTAAACAGGCATAATTCTAGCGTCTGTTTTTCCAGGTATCTGAGTCCGCCTTCTGTCGGGGCTACTCTTTGAGAACATCTGCAGCCCAACAGTCCTGCAGAAAGCAGAGAGTCCCACCCTTTCCACCTCTTAGCCTCTTTTCCAGGCAAAATCAAGTCTCCCAAACATTTACAAGGTCCTTTGATTTAAGAAGGTTGAAAAAGTTCATTGTCAAGCTGTGGCTTTATAAAACTTGACTTTAGATACATTCATCCTAACGCAGTGTTCCCTTTAGATTTTTCTTTAAATGAAACCACAAAAGCAAGAAATGATAAAAGCACAAAGCCAAGACCTACCCATGTTAATTCAGCTGTCCAGCCATAGCGAAGTGGCCAAGAGTTTGAAATGAATCAACCATACTCATGGTCGTGTTTACAATTATGAAATTCAATCACACCATGTTCCTGTGGTGCAACTCTGTCTCCTCCTGAAGCAACCAGTTACACTGACACCATCATGCAAATGTGGTTCTTGATTTCCCTTGTGCTCAACACTATCTGTAAGAAGGAAGGGTGACACCACCCCATCCTGCAGGTAGGTCCCAGGGACCTTTTTTTTTTTAACTATTGTGAAAGGATTGAAGTCCTTCAGGCTGCATGCTTACAGAGATGATCCACCATCTTCAGTGCAAATGAATCCAGATATACAACTCTGAAAATGTGTACTGTTACCTTAAACTAATATCCTCCTTTAAAAAGAATGCTTTGAAAATAACCAAATCCATTAGCTGTAGCCTGCCTGTCAGACTTCTGACTCCAAGGTAAAGAGTCTTACATGACTAGTAATCGGTGTTTATTTCCAGACCATTTCAAATGAAATCAGTAATGGGGGATGACATGTAACGTGACATGTGCTCCTGCAATTACAAGGAGAGAATCATTCTATAGCGATGGCCCCAGTAGAAAGAGAATCTCATAATACTTATTCGAAATATTTACACATTTATTCAACAAAGACATTTCCAGGATAATGTGATACTGACCTTGCCCTTTAGAAATGTATTTCACATGCATCGTACAACTAATGAGCAACAGAATTTTAGATATTAATTCCTAACCTTCCTGTGTGGCTAGATGCTATTTGTAATACATGCCTCTATTAAATGGCTTCAGCTTTTAACCCAGGGTATATTACTGTTCTATATATTAACACAAAGCTCTCATACAACTCTAAAAGTAGAAATGAGAGGCTGTTCTTTGCTTTCTTCAAAAATTTCTATAGAATCTGAAGTCCTCAGCCAAAGAAATCAACCAGTAATTCTAAGATCTAAATCTCCTTCCAATAATACCAAATTGGAGCCACAAATGACACATTTTCTTCTTAACTTTTAACCACAGGATACATCAACAGAGCAGCACAACCAAATGTTAAAATACAATAAACAGAAGGGAATAATTACTTGGGTTCCATTAAACCGGAACGATGTAGTACCTGTAAGGGAGTGAACAATAGTGGCCAGTATACCCTTTCAGTATATATATTTTTAAATCAGTGTCCCAGAAAATAAATTAAAAATAATATTGCTTCCATGAAAACCATCAAACAGAATGGGAATGCTTCACAATAAAAGAGAGTAAGTTCTAAGCGAGTTCTTGACTGACCTGTTTCTGTTGGCTAATACTGGAGGAGGCACACCAGACGCACATCTCTGAGTGTCTGGTGTCCCTACATGCTGGGTCTCATGTCAGCCTTCACGCTTAGCAAGGGAAAGGAGAGAGACTTGTGCTGCCAGGCTGTTCCCAAGCAACTCCCAGCAGAGCCTGGTGCATTTTCTCAGGCATCTACATCGGAGTATAATGAGTGAATTGGTGTCTATCTTTTAGTAAAGAAATGATCCCTGACCTTGTAGTGGCATACCTGGTTGCGTATCAGACACAGGGTGTGATGTCATGATAGTCCAACCCAGGTTATCACACATACTATGGTATTGTGAAGAGTGAAAAATCAATGGACTAACAATAGTATTCTAAGTTTGCAAGTGGCTCCCAGGAAAAAAAGAGATGATTTTCAAGTTTGCAATACAGATGGGACAGCATTTTTATTCTATCTCGCTCAGGCCCTGCATCTGTCCCTCCAGTGTGTGGCAGCTTGCTAATTCAATTAATTTCTTTCTAGCTGAACAAGAAAGGGATCAGTGAAAGGTTAATGCGGTCCTAGGCAGTTTGTGTCAGCTGAATCCTAACCACCTCTACACGATGATCTCGAGTTGGGAAATCCTGGGTGACCAGAGTCAGGACAGCAGGTTTCCTGTAGACCCAGCAAGACCAAATCCCAAGAGATCTATGCAAAGTGCATGGAAGAAGGCACAGATCCTTCTATAGCAGGTCACAACCTTGCTACTTCTGGAGTCCAGAAGGATGCTGTGTCTCATAAAAGAGTAATAGGAGACTAATACAAGTGACCCCCCACAAAGCAAAGGTTAAGTGCAGGAGTGTTCCTGTTCACAAGGGTAAGAGGCAGGGGAGAGGATACGATTAATATGTCTTGTCTTAGTCCCCCTTTTAAAACACATAGAGATGCAGATTTAAATGCTTATGTATGTGTGTGCATGTGCTTCTGTATAGCCCATGAAGCATGGTGAAAAAAATTACTTTGGCAACAAAGACAAATCTTCAGTTTTACACACACACACCTTTCTCATACTTCACCATACTTAATAAATCTGTAATACGTGACTGACCCTGTGCTGGAGGATCATACTGAAATAGGATACGAGCCAGATCTTTAAAAGCTCACAAATCAGCTCACATTTACTCTGAAAACGTCACTGAAGTAAGCTTCCTGAGTGAGGCTGAACATCCCTGAAGGAATGAAGCCAGAAGCAGCTTCTCGCTGCCCATGGAAAAGATGTTTGCATGGCGCTGTAACTCTCAGAGCTGATACAGGCTGCAAATTTTGAGTGTGGCCAAAGAAGGTATTGGGATGTTGGAGGTGAAAGATTGGGTTGGATGGAAACCCTGGTGCAGGACTTCTGGAACCATGTGGTTCATACACCTATTAGGAAATTTGGAGAACTGGTGTATGTTTTGTAACCATCACAATGGGGAAGAAGGTAAAGTTCATGGACAAACAACTGAGCAACTTGCACAGAGCAGGTAGGTGGCTCGCTGTATACACACCTGCTAAGGAAAGAGATGCGACTCAGAAGCAAGAGTTCTCCCTGTCTGTCATTTCTCATGGGGTCTCACCACGCCCCTTGCAGAGCTGGTGATAGGACAGGCCAGTCAGAAAACAAGTTTTTTTTTTTTCTCGTTAAAGAAATACAGGAAATACAAGTGAGCTCAGGGTTTGGGATCTAGGGCTCTTGTTTCACACCTGTCACTTATTTTCTTTGTCACCCCTGACAAGTCATGTCACTACTCAGGCATGAGGCCCCTCATCTGTACAAAGAGAACCCAGACCTCTAAGGGCTCCTACGACTCAAACATTTCACGATGGTGTTCAGGATGATCTCCCACCCAATGGTTAGGAATACTTTCTCCCTTTCTCTCTGCTGCACTCTGTATACTCACTTCTCCAAGCAGCCTGCTTTGTTTCGTTGACCTTCATGGTATGGCAGAACAAGCTTTGGCACAAGAAAAGAAAATTAGACTTGAAACTAACCTTCATCCCACTCAACTAGCTGAGGGTTCTTGAGCAAACCTTTCTTTCATCATATGTGAAATAAGCGTAAGCAGAGCCTCATAGGGCCACGAGGAAGGCAAACATAAAGAAGAGAGAGGTTATTTCTTCTTCAAATTATTTATTTGGTTCATTCATTTGAGAGGCAGAGGATGTGGAAGGGATGCAGAGGTAGGTGGGGAAGAGAAAACAAGCACCTCCATTTCTTGGTTCGCTGCGTATCATCAGCTCCTGCCAGAAGCCAGAATCAGGAGCTGGGCACTGAGCTTCGCTCACCAGGTGAATGGCAAGTACCCAGCCACCTCCATGGGTGGTCCCAGGCTACCTTATGAGGGAGAAGTGGTATCCAGAGCAGAGTTGAATCTCCAATTCAAACACTCTGCTATATCATGGGGTAGGCAG